ATCGAGATGCTGAGAAACGGGCTCTTTCTGTTTTGGAACAACGTGCATCGTGAGTGGTTCCCCTGTGTCTTTATGACGCACATGGTACACTTTGGCATCTTCTGAGCCACCGACGAACTGCTCGTAAGAAAATAAAGGGAAACAATCTAACATACTGATGAGATTTAAAAACGAAAGAAGATGAGTGCCCTATGTTTCAATCTCCCGTGCGATTTTGACAATTATTCTGTATAGACCAATGCCTTTTTCAATTTAGCGTAATTAAATAGCTAAAAGCTCCTTAAAATGAACAAATCTTGCTCACATTAACAACTATGATGAATCGATGAATGACCACCAAATCACTATTCAATTTAGCACATTTCAAATACATTAAAAGCAAGCAATTAGGCATTTGCAGCCTCTCGCAATCATTTCCTTGAACTTGAAATAAATTGTCTTTTAAGTTTTAACCTTTAACGTCAAATACATGGGCCTAAATTTGTTTGGTAAACTAGGAACACTTTCCCTTTGTTGTTATGGCGAGCTGTCGCTATAATATGTCTAGAGAAACAATCAAACATAATTATGCTGGTAAATGTTATACAATATTTAACGCTTGTTTAAGTTCTATTCTTTTTTGCTTCTTTATCTAAAATTGATGATCACACAAAACGTCTCCAAGTGAATATATACACAAAATATAGAAGAGTAAACGATTTCAGGCGATAAGATCAAAACACGTTTAACACAGCTTAAAGGATGTTAAAAAGTTAATAATTTAAGCGAAATATCCTTCAATCACAGAAAGTAAGACAATAGTGTTTCCAGTATTGAACAGTTCGCTTATAATTAAAAGCTATATCTAATATTTAATGAAAATTATTTTATAAATTTTGTATGCTTTTTTCGTTAATATTTCCTGCTCATGTTCTGATATTATGAAACAAGGAAACTCTCGCTGATTAGCCATAATATCCTGTGAATTACATGAAATATAATGGGCGGCTTCCTAGTTTGAAGTCAAAAATTTTGCAGGTTCCTGTCAAAGATTCACCACCACGATCGATCCATGATGCTGTTGCAGATTTTTATAAATACTTATTTTAGATCATGTTAGGTCAATGTGGTGGATACAAAATAAGCGAGGAAAATAATGCCAATATAATAATAGTGTTTAAGCATGTGGCTTAACGAAGCCGTCTTCCCACGCACAATTAAAACTTTCTAGAAGTTTAACATAAGAAATAGGCTAGCATGCTACAGAATATATATGTTTATACCTGTGTACAACGTACAAACGTCAACTGACAGCAAAATAAAAATAGATATAAAATAACCGAGCAATAATAAAACAATCATACCGAAATTATGTCAAAGCAGTCAGCCCCGTGTCTTGCGGTAGTCATCTTGCCACGGCTCGAAACAAGGACATCTTGTGTTTATGTTTAGATAAATCATCCACGTGTTACCACTATCAGTCGCTGTGAAAATTTCTTCGATGGAAAGAAAAGACATAAATAAAACATACAAGCTGCTGCGACACGATGAGTTGTCAATAAATCGTGAAGTCCCTCAGGAAATCAAATCTTCGCTCGAATTCTTTGTACCTATTCTGCACTTTATTTGGATAAAGACAAAATACACGGGCTATCAGCTTAGCTTGAGCAATATAAAGGAACAATTTCTATATTTTGTAAAGAACACAGAACGTGCAATTCCCGCGTCAATATTTAAACAGCAATGTGGATTTCAGTTACAATTCTAGCGGACTCAATTGATAACGCGATAACTACGCTTGGCTTGAATGAGCAGGCTGGTCCCAGAGGGTCTAGTAAAACAAATTCTACGGCAATTGGTGGTAATTAGAATTTCGAGCAATTAACCATAACATAGCATATGTGTAAAGAAGCTCGTAATTGCGGGGGCGCACAACTAAGGTACCTTGAAGTTACGCAGACTAAATTCTTCTTCTCCAACGAAAGCTGGAGATTAAGGCTAGTTTGCACTTCCATGCAATATGTTTTCAATAACATTATCGAGGGACGAGAAGCTAAGACAATTACCAAGAGAGGGTGGGGGTCTTTTCAAGAAAAATAAAAAAAATTCAAAACAACTTTCCTGTGGTACAACACGTTGGGTCACACAGAACAGAGACAACATTTAGCCGAAATACTTAACGATGCTCAGCTTTAAAAATATTATGCTTGCAAGATTCGTATCTTTTCTGCCTTATAAAAACTCATTTTATTCAAAAATTTACCCAAAATGCAATGGTGAACCTAACTTGAGCAGGCAGTTTACTTCAAGCTACTAGAAGTGGCAAATGCATCCTTTTAAGCAAATTGAAAAATTCTTTTTTTGCAAACGAATTGAACAGCAGATAAAAACAACTGGTACAATTTCGCCATGGCATACCGGAAAACAAGGACCCAGGACCTTAAGGCAGGACCCAGGACCGAGGACCAGGACCGAGGACCAGGACCGAGGACCAGGACCGAGGACCAGGACCGAGGACCAGGACCGAGGACCAGGACCGAGGACCAGGACCGAGGACCAGGACCGAGGACCAGGACCGAGGACCAGGACCCAGGACCAGGACCCAGGACCAGGACCCAGGACCAGGACCCAGGACCAGGACCGTATATGTTTTCGACGATGCACTCGCAGTTCCCTTTATAAGAATACCAAGTTATAACATTGCATACCATGAACAATTTTCCATAAAATCCAAAATCCAAAAGACTGCACATCATTTTAGGGGGCAAAAGAATCTGATTTTATTTCTCACTTTGTGTGAAAAACGAAAACTCGGGTAGCTCGGGAATATATAAATGTACGATTAAACGAAAGCAACGCCTTGAAATGTGAATTACTCTTATTGGCCATGCAAACCTGACGTGGTTGTTTTAGCATAGATGGCTAGCACAGCAATTGCTATTCTTTAGTAGGATCGGGGTATATTTGATGCACACTGCAAACCTTTAGTAAGCCCACATCATAAAAAAGCCACCAAAGCATAAGTAGTCTTAATATGTTTAAATAGCAAGACATTAGAACGTTTCTATGCTCTAGAAGCAGGAATGTCTGCACTCCCTTTGGTATGTTTTTCGTGAACCGCGGAGCATATTAAAGAGTGAGGGGGCGCTAAGCATGCTCATAATCAAGAACAAGGCGATTTTGTATGGTTTTAAGAACAACCCCCTTCCGCGGTACCAGTATTTTTATCATTTCAGATTGAACCATTGTGTCAAAAGTCCTGATCTGGATTTGAAAAAGGTTTACTATTCCATAAAATGTTTCTACTCTGAAAAATACCACTAAATCTTTCTAAAAGCGGGCTCCTTTTAAATAAAAAGAAACTAATGCATCTGAAAAAGAGCAGAAAGGAAATTTCTTTGGAATCTTATCGTGACACCCATAAAGCGGTGTCCCGAGACAGTTCGTCTAATTTGAATCTTCTATTGAACATTTGCAGTACATAATGACTTGGCAAGGTTTCTGATGACCCAGACAGCCAATGTTTGCCAAGAATGGAGTGCCATTTTTCAAGTGACGGAAGAGGAGACCAAGGACTCATAACCCAGGACTCAGAACCTAAGGCATGCCTGGGAACTAAAATGACCAAACAACCTGCATCGTGCAAAAAATTTTCCTGAAAATTTTGAAAACATTTGAAAATTTTCTAACCCTAGAAAAAGTGGAAAGGTAAAGAAATTGATATCGAGGAGCCACGCAAACGAAAACAACTGAAACGTTCATTTTGTATACAATATTGAGAAAGCTTTATGGCCCCGTCTCCCTTTTTTTAGCTCTACACTACTGCTTGCAACGTTTACTCAGACCCCGTTTACACTGTCCCGTGCAAGTTTGGAACCGTGACAAAACTGTCGCGGTTCGCCCTTGCGTTTACACTAGCACTGTGGAACCGTGATGATTTTGCTCTGCTATCCGGAACAGTTTGGACCCTGCTTTGAAAGCGAACGAATTTTGTACCGTCACGGTTCCGTTTTTGAACGGGACAGTGTAAACACCTATCCGAGACGATTTTGTCACGGATTCACAAAGAGGTCTTTTGTATGGCTGTTTCAGGTAATCGAGGCTTTGATTGTGGCGTAACTACGTTCTCAAATTCTGAAGAAAAGGGAATTCTGAAGAAAAGACGACCACAGAAAAGGCTTGTAGTGTTTCCCAGTCCAAGCCTTGATTGGACTTGGCAGTTTTGTAGTCTAAAATAACACTGAAAATTAAAGCCACCTTGTCTTTCGTCCAAGTAAAGTTTTAATCGGCCTTCCGCTCCATTTAACTCACAATAAAAATTCGATTGTTGACTTCAGCGGCAAAATAAAAGCCTTGGTTGACTAAATACAGCTTCTTCTAAACAATGTTCTACCATTAAATTAAGGTCGTACCGGTACAGTGTAAACGGAACGGCTAAACGGAACAATTTGGAACCGCGACAGTGTAAACACTTGCGAACCGTAACGGTACAAAATTGTCCCGGGACAGTGTAAACGGGGTCTCACACTCAAAATACTCTTATTAGCCGTGCGAACCTGACGCGGTTGTTTTAGCATAGTTAGCTAGCACAGCAATTACTATTCTATAATAGGATGGGGGTATCTTTGATGCACACAGCAAACCTTATATCTTTAGTAAGCCCACATCATTAACAAGCCATCAAAGCGTAAATAGTCTTTATAAATTTAAAAAGTGTTTAGACATTAAAGATGTCAAAGACAGAAATGGTTTGTCAGCAAAAAGTTTCTTTGCCTTCTGTGCTCTAGAAGTAGGAATGGCTTTTTTTGTATGCTTGTAATTGCCGGCTGTAATATGCATCAGAAGTCGTGATCTTGATTTAA